CYSCCYSCSSSACCTGATMSCGGATAAGCYGGCCGGAYGGACAATTTATATTGTTAGTCTAAATTATTACATTTAAAATTCTAACTCTAATTCAAGCAGAATAGGGTGTTGTCAACATAATTATGGAGTGTAATTTATGGAAGTGCTGTAAMATGATGTTACCCTGTCACAGATCATTTTCTTGAAAAGGAATGGAGGGTAGAATTTAYGTATAAATAAACAAACATTTTATGTTGTAGGCCAAAATTGAGCTTCCCCTTCTTAAAAGACCAGCATCCGCCACTGGTGCCAACCACTGCCAATGGGATTCATGCTCACTCGTAGGAGACGGTAGCTTCGTGTGTGGAGGGATGGAACCTCCTCTGGGTGTAGGTGCAGCCCAGATACGACAGGGGACACCTCTGCTCGAACCATCCGTTCAAACATGTCTGGATGTCGTTGTGCACATTTCTGGACAAGAAGTAATGGTTTAAAAACTTGTTAAATTCACCTATCACCACTGCAAAGTGTTTTTTTAGGTGGTGTACAAAAATAATTGCTGWATTTCTGTAATTTCTTCCACCACTTCTCAACATTCAGCATGAATCCCTTTGATTAACGGCTCTAACACCTGAAGTGTGTGGCGAACTCCCTGCGATGGAAGGTGTGACCGCAGAGGAAGGTGAACGCGCAGCTGGATCTGTTGTTTCTGCTGTTCACGCCCTCCGCTTGAAGCTGCAGGTGAAGCTTCGGTGGTTTTTCTGCCGTCACATCCGCCAGGGTCGTCTTCCCTTTAAACGGAGCCGAGCGGAAGGAGTGCGTCTGTGTTCCCTGGTCCACATAGAGCCCGTCTGCACCCTTGGACTCGCTGATCTGAAACCGAACAAAGAGAAAGGAAACAATGTTTGATCAACTACAGCACCGGGCAAAAATGATGGAATCACCACTTTTGGTGAACTGTAAAGCATCCCAAACCTCGTACCCTGTGACCCATGACGGCCTGCTCAGCGTAGCCCAGCAGGGTGGTTGCTGCTTCATCAGTGAACCAGTCGTCCTCACTTCCTCCGAGATCCGATGTGTCGACACCTCTGCTTTCAGTCTGCACTCGTGCAGCTGTGTCGTACAGATGAATGCGCCGTTTATAGCGATAACTTTCAGGAACCTTAAGGACAGAGGGGTGTTCCGTTATTTTTTTTGGAAAAAAAACAAAACAAAATGCACACGTATTCAATGACAGATGTAGACGTCAGAGCACTTCAACATCATTTTCTGCACCACAGAGTTGAATTTGGTTAAACTCCTCACCTTAAAGGAACGCAGGGTCTGGACCGGAATTGGTTCCAGGCTGCCATAAACGAAGTCCTTCTCCCTCGGCGTGCAGGCCTCGATCTGTCCGAAGGCAAGCAGCATGCGTCCGTGATGCACCATGTACATGTTGTACTCCTGTGGGGTGAGCTCCTGGCCCAGACGCTCCAGGACCCCCTCCTGCCACGGAGCCAGCCCGGTCTTACTGGTGTCTGGCTGAGGACAGTTTGTCGGTCCATTAGAGGTGTCCGGCTTTGTGTTTCTCTGGTCTTCACCTGCTTTATCCCGCCTATCACCGTCTTTTGATTCTCCCTCACTCTGGGTTTGCGTCTTCTCTCCTGTCTTTTGCTTTTGTTTGGAATTTTCCAAATTTTCCTGAGCGACAGCGCAGGCACCTTTGTCCATGTTGAACATCATCTCAAACAGATCGAACTTCTCTTTGTTGATGACTGAACCGTGACCTCTGCAGATAGCTGCTGTTTCCTCTGCTGTAACATTTTCACTCACACTGGTTTCAGGGAGTCCTGCACAGGGAAAGATTTTGAGATTGAAATACAATTTAACAGTTTTGAGCCAGCCACAATGTCTTCATATTTTGCTTTCAAGGAGGCAGATTGTCTTGTCTTTAAAATGTTCTAAGAGACAGTTCTGCACACGTGAGCCAAGTTTTCAGCTAATAGCTCTTTGGGAATTACCTAAAACACAATATTCTGTCTGATGGACATTGTTGCATTTGGTATTTTTTTAATAAAATTAACAAAAATGAAACAAACATGAGTGTTGCTGGGGAGAGGGAGGTCTGGGTTTTTGTCGTGGATCTGTTGTGTCTGAAACCTGACTGGATACGTGGTAGAAGATGATGAAGAGGGTTTAGGAATATATGATTCACAGAAAAAAAAACACATTCTTGACATGAGCAATGCACAGAAAATCACTGAAAAGTCAGTCAAAATAAAAACTAAAACAAAAAACTGAATCCTTGAAGAAAACGTGTCAGGCTTCTTGAGAGCAAAATATTCAAGATTTACTGATAAATGTTGTTTTTTAACAGATGTAATGAAATGAGGATGACAAAATATCAGTTTTCAGGTTTTCAGCAACTGATTTATTTTTACAGATCTTAGCAGTGGAACCAACCTTCACTTGTGTCCTGAACACCATTTTCAGGCCCTCCAGCTGCTGCCTCTTCCATCATCTCATCTTTTATTTCCTCCTCCTCTTCCTCCTCCATCAGCTCCGGGTATAATGGCTTCATTTTGAGTCGTTGGTAAAGCTCCGACTGATCAGCAAGAGCCAGGGCGACGTCCAAAGCCTCCTCCTGAGCTTCGCTGTCCTTCAGCACGTTGTCCTGCAGGGCGTCGAAGCCGTGGGGGTTCGTGTCGTCCAGGGGCCAGCGGAGCCACTCCATGGAGCAGCAGACCACGCTGGCCGGACACACCTGGAGGTGAGCCGCCTGCGAGGAGCGGGCCAGCTGGACGGGGCAGCCGTACTCAGCGTTGAGGCAGGGCACCCTCACATTGGGGCAGAGCAGCAGGTGGTCCTCYTCTTTGCACAGGTGGAAAACAGCACCGCAGAGCAGGCGGCAGGGGACSACCGCACAGCTAGAGACCTCCACCYGGGTCCTGCAGCGCCGACTGWRGCAGGAATCACAGTGGAGATGCAGCCGAGCCCTGGAGGCCCGAGAACCATGACTCTGGATAGAAACCATWTGRAAGATGATGTGTGACAACAAATATCTTCATAATGTACAACCCTAAATTAAAAAAAATATACACAAGAAAACAAAGCCATTTTTGTTTTGCAGACAGTAAACTACCAACTTACTGCTTTATTTTGTGCTTCAGGCCTGCACCACACAACCATCACTCTTGGAGGATGTTGTGGCAATTTCATAATTTTTGCAAGGGATCTTACAAAAAATAAGTYGGGATGATGTCAATTTAATAAAGAGGTATAAACATGCAATAACAAATCAAACATGTAATGCCAACAGGTAAGTGTAAGTAYGACTCGTCTCAAAAGGCTGAACTCCTGAGGACAAGAGATTAATCAAAATGTACAACAAATATTCATCCCTGAAATGAAAGAGCTGTTTAATAAATTTAATGAAACTGAACAAAACTGCAATAAAATGAATCAAAGTACAAGTTAAACTGTTTTCATCCATATTGCTCTAACTTTTTACTGATTTGCAGTGGTGGGTGGAGTACTCAAAGGATGTATTCAAGTAAGAGCAGCACTACTTCAAACATTTTTACTCAAGTAAAAATAAAAATTAGCTAATATAGAAGTCAAATCAACAAAAAGTTTTCTAAACCCCTCATGTTTTTTTCCAAGTTTTTTGCATGACTTTCTTTTCAAGTATTTAAATTTACGCTTACGTGACAATTTATTCCAATTTGTTTTTAGTTTTTGTTAATGAAAACAACACTTTGTTTAGAATATTAAAGTATTCTGGATTGTGGCTTGTCTGATTCCAATAAATGAGCCTTTGAGTATTTGAAAAGTGTCTTTGTGGACCTTGGTTTTATATGATGAACATCCATGATATTTAATGACTCACCATAGCTGACGGCTTGTTACCCTGCAGGAGATAAAGAGAGAAAAACAGAGTTATAATTCAAAATCCAACATCAGATCAGCTAAAAACACCAACTTTTTTGGTTTTGTACCCTTTGAAAACATCAYGTTGTAACTTGTACAAATCTACACARTGACTAAAGCAACAAAATCATTGTKTTGACCAAAAACAAGCATAAAACACGTGCTTATTGATTCAGCCCTGCTTTTAACAACATGTACAAAGATTCACATATTCCTCCTTTAAAACACACTTTAATCTCTACGGCCATGCTGCTCAGTCCTGAAGCAGTTTTATAGTCCAACATAAAGTAAAWCTTCAACAGATACTGCCTGTTTAGTTTAGACAAACAGAAACAAAGTATTTTAGTCCGATCACAACAGAAGTGAGCTTTTCTTACCAAGTCTCGGGTCGTGTTGTTCTGTCTCTTAACGCTGCCTTGAGTTGTGTGAGTTCGTTGAACTGGCAGGTTAAAATTAGCCRAGCAGCACTGAGCAGGTTCAGAAGGAGGAATAACTCCCCGCTCAAATGATCGCTGCAGCAGAAAATATAACCTATATGACCTTTAAAGATAGGCTGAGTTGATGCTTACGAATTACGAATTCAACCTGTGCTGGAAATAATTTAGAGAAATACAGATGAGCTGTTCAAAGTGCGTTCAAATCTCTAAAAGAGGACACTGTTCAGGTATAAAACTGAGCCTCAGCTGGATTTTCTRCRGGTTCTGCAGATTGAAATGAGTTTCAGTAAGTACAGAATGAGTCAACAGGTTTCTTTGTGTTTGTGGTTGAAAGGCCTGATGACCCAAACCATGGCTCTGACCACCTGTGTAACATATCTGAGTCAGTGCTCAGCTCTATTTATAACACACACACACACACACACACACACACACACACACACACACAC